TTCCTTCCTTCCTTCCTTCCTTCCTTCCTTCCTTCCTTCCTGTAAAACCTGCCTGTTTGCTTGCTTCTTCTTCCCATACCAATTTCTAAACATGGTTCAGTGGATCAGATGTTTAGTTTAGTGGTGGGCACGTCGGCCTGGGCAGAAGAGGTCCTTGTGGCTGTTTTGTTGGTCTTGGCCATCAGTGCCAAGCAGGGGAAGACATCAGAGGCTGTTTTAGATGTCTTTCATTCCTTCAGGAACGCAGTACCAACAGCCATGTGATTTGAGGACAACCCCTTAATATTCTCGGTCTGAAGATGTTGAGTGATGAGGGACCTGCTTAGGTTTCTCAACCTCCTTTGCTTAGAATGAAGTGAGGAGATATCAAGAACATGTTGTTGGCACAGGTTGACCTTCCTTAGGACATGTTCCCTATAAACTCCCCCTCTGCATCCTGGACCCATTCCCAGCTGCAGCAGGGAAACTTTGATTTAGAGCTGCTTCACCTGCGTATTATAATTTGGACTTGGTCATCAAGAGGAAGGGAAAACTGATGGTCGCTATTGCTGATAGTTTCACACCTGAAGATGGGAGAAGAAGAGATGGAAACAGAATGATCGCAGGGTTCTGAACACTCTCCAGCCCTTCCAGCATCTTTCCCCAGACTCTGATGTTCCCAGAAGGCAGGGTCCAAATTGGTTACTCTGGAGAAGGTGTGCTTCAGCAAATGCCCAGCACATGCCCAGTTCGACCATGGGATGATGTCAAAGTCCCACTATGGACCTTGCAATAGCCTAAGTGTAGTTTCTGCCTCCCCTGCCTTCCCAGCCAAGTTGATCGTAGCATCCGTGGCTCCAGTGGTGGGATTCAAATTTTTTTTTACTACTGGTTCTGTGGGCATGGCTTGGTGGGCGTGACGGGAAGGTTACTGCAAAATCCCCATTCCCTTCTCACTAACCTGCTTTCCAGCTCCGTTCTCCTGTGCAGGGCAACCAAAGAAGACCCAGCCAATCAGCTGGGACTCGGGAAGCAGAGAATAGATGGGGGCGGGGCCAGTCAGAGGTGGTATTTGCCGGTTCTCCGAACTACTCAAAATTTCCGCAACCGGTTCTCCAGATCTGATCAGAACCTGCTGAATACCACCTCTGCCTGGTTCCCCTCTGTTGCAGAGTTCGTTGCTTCCTTTTATTTCTCCTTTAATATCTCGCTTGAACGCCTGGGTGATGCATAAGACCATTTGGGTGATATACCATTTAACTGATGTCGAGGGAGATCCAGGGGAAATAAAGCAGAGAATATATTCGGAGAATGAAGGGTGTTCTAATCGGCGGGCATTATGAACTAAAAAGCATGAAGCCATTTATTTTCTTTCCCTCCGTGATGAATGTGAAAGGGGGAAAATGAGAAAATAACCAAGAGAGGCGCTGGGAATTCTGGCTGAGTTGAAATTTTGACTCCTGGGTATTTCGGCTTCTTGTTGATGGCCAGCGGGGCTGTTTCCTTGGCAACCACCGTGCAGGACAAACCCAAGGGCTGCAGTGGGAAAACGACAAAGTTTCTGTAGCTGGAAGTTGCTTTTCTTCTAATTTCCCCCATCTCTGCTTTTCTTCTGTAACCTTATCCACCTTAATGAAACCGATTAACCAACTTTTTAACGCTTCCTGTTCTTCCTAATGCTATCGAGGAGTTTGAAGGAAGCTTTGTTTTACAGAAGGTAAGTGTGCTGCCCCACTCACTCACACTCACACATCAGTGTGGTTTATGGAGGGTTTAATTGGTCTTCCCCCAGCAGTTCTCTTTACCTGGCTTTAATACTGTCCCAACTGAGGCCAGCCATGAGCAAGCCCAGATTAATTCCCCAGGCAAACGCCAATTAATCCATAACATAGATCGCAAGCTGCTCAAACAGTGAGTCTAATAAATGAACATAACGCCCCCCAGGCAAAATTTAAAAGTACATCCACGTTAGCTCACAGGTTATAGAAATTCAGACTCTCAGGAAACACGAATGAACAGGCAACCATGACGCAACGCCTCCCTCTGCCTGCCGTGCTAAATAGCTCCCGCTGCAGCCCATCAAAAGGAGCAGGGCCTTTTCCCGAGCAATCTGGCAGACCTCCATTTCTCTGCATGCTCTGAGATCCATCACAGCAGGCAGCTCCTCCCCCTCCTCTTCACTGGTCCACAAGTTGTCCCCAGTTGAAGCCTGTTCTGCTGGTAGTTCGGGGTTAATCATTCCCGACGTGCCAGGAATGGTCTCATTCTCCTTCGAGCCACCACAGTAAGATGCGCAGCTTAACTGCTTCCTCACCTCTGCCTGTACAGGGTCCATAACAATTTGCCATGGCCATCTTGCCATAGCCAACTCGCCACAAGACAACTCACTGCGAGAAGAGAGTTAACACTTAACATCAAAGGAAGGGTGGGGTAGAATCGTTAGAGAAAGGATGCAAAAGGAGGGACAAAGGAAAATGTCAATGACAAAAGTGAAAATCACTTTTTACATTATTTTGAATCATTAAATTGAATTGTTGAATGGTCTCATGCAGTGGTGGGACTCAACTTTTTTTTACCACCGGTTCTGTGGGCATAGCTTGGCGGGCGCACTTTGTGTGTGCATCCGCGCTTTGCACGCGCACAGAGGGTTTGATACTGACCTCCTGAAATCCTGCACTCTCCCTGTGTGTTCAACAGCTGATGTGCGGCAATCTGTTGAGCCGCGTGAAGCAGCTGAGCTTCAAAACCAGGAAATAATGGTCAGTATAGAGCCCAGGCGGGGGAGGCCCAGCAGCCGATCGTCGGAGCAAACCGGTTCGCTCACAGATGATCCTCGGAACTACCGGTTCGGTCAAACCGGGCCGAACTGGTAGAATACCACCCGCCTGGTCCCGTGGCATGTTGTCCCGTGGCAAGTTGCTCATGGCAAATGGTTCAGCAATGAGTTGGCCATGGTGAATTGGCGGCAGCGAGTTGGCATTGGTGAGTTGTCCCATTCCAGCCTGTGCCTGGGTTTGTACAGAGACACATTCTATACCTGCACATCCAGGTGTTTGGGAGGTTGACTGCTTAAAGATCTCTGTTGAGTTGTGTCAACATCTGAAGCATCGGTGGAGAAAACCAAGCAAGATCTCTATCGGTCTCCTCAAAAGCCTACTGATTTGTGCTCCAAAGCTACCTGATCTATCTGACCATGGTTAGGAACAGGCTCCTCCTGAGATGCTTTCCTGAAGGACTTGCCATGCTTCTCAGTTGCTTCTTGTGCACCAAGTAATCAATTGTGTTAACCCTGGTTTAGATCCCGAGGGTGCTTTAGGAAGTCCCTCTCCCATTCTGGATTTGCCCATCTGTGATTAATTATAAGCACCACTGCAATCGGACCAGCCACTGCTAACTGTCCCAGGTAAATGGGAGAGAACTCCTTGAAGATCCATCCTTCTGCGATAGAAAAGAGGGCCTTCTCCCACCTTCTGACCATAGACAAAGGAACCACTGTCCTTCAGGTGTTGCATTTAACACGAGAAGCATGCCATATTTAGCAAATCCAACAAGGAAAAACATTAGTCCAGAAGATGACTTTGAAAAGAAAAGAAAAAATAGGTTGTAGCCTTTTGTTGATAAAAGCTTAAAACATTTCCTGACATTGTAATTGACCCGGGCTTTAGAATTCCTTTGGTTGGGCAGGATATCCACCTTTTCCTGCTTATTAGCATTCTTAGAGGCATGTTAAATTGAGGATAAAGCACACTCCATTTCCTCACACTCCATCCCTAAAAGGCCCACTCCGCCATTTTTGATTGTGTAATAATTCCGCTCAAGTTCAACTTGCTGGTTGCACCTCAGTTAAATTTGGGTCATGCATATATGAAACACATGGCCATTGTCCTGAAGGTCCATTGAGGGATTAAACCTGAGAGAAAGGGGAGTGCAAAAGTGGTGGGTGGAAATGCAAAAGAACACAATAATGACACGCCCTTCCCCTGAATGAAGATTCGATTCTGGATAAACTAATCTGATTTGCCTGCTTCAGAAAGAGTTGTCGCAATGTTGTTAAATGTGGGCATAACCCTGGTTAAGAGAAGATCAAAAATCACTCTCTGTTGCACAATTGCTAAATGGCTGCTGATATATCTTAGACTTTATGGATTTAGTTTCCTTATTAACTATCAGTGTAAAGCCTGAAATAAATACAGTGTAGTGAAATCAGGCATCCAAGGAGCTGCATGCTTCCTTTCTCAATTGCTGTTGACAATATTATACCCAGTTCACACTGACTGTGTCAATTGCAAATGACAGTTTGTGACTGATGTTCTGAATTGTGGAGGAAACAGCCTTTTTGTCCTGAAAATAGTGTGTGTGGGTGTGGGTGTGGGTGTATCTATCCCCTTCTTCTTTGTGATTCACTGGGACTCGAACGATCAACACTGAAATAGGAACATCTCTCACAGGAGTGGCACAATCTGTATATACCTGTGGACAGGAATTAAACCAAAGCTCCCATTGGGTGGAAAACCTACTAAGCTCTGAATGTTAGACTGATTTTTGACTAGAAGAAATATCTGATCCAGCCCAGGGAAGACCATCTTCTGCTATTTAATATCTTGGGAAATGTTAGTTGGAGAACTGGATTGTGGGAAGGCTTCAGTGTGTCCTGCCTAGTGCAAAAAGCAGAACCCTGTGCTTAACCTGTTAGACTGAATCATTGAATGGGATCTTTGTTGTGCTTGGGATCTCTGGGATCCAGGATACACACATCTAAATGTGGTGATTCTTCTGATCTGAAGATGCGTCATGGATCTTCTCTCTTGCAGCGAGCAGAGATGAGCTCCAATCCAGGAAAATAAAGCTGGACTATGAGGAAGTTGGAACCTGTCAGAAGGATGTCATTAACATCTGGGACAAGAAACTGTTGAATTGCAGAGCCAAGATCAGATGTGATGTGGAAGACATTCATACCACCCTGAAAGATGGTAAGTTTTGAGTCGAGAGGACTTAGTGCCTGGAAAAAAGGCATTGGTCACAACCAAGGTTTGGCATCTTCAAGGGCAAGGGTCTTCAAACTTGGCAAACTTGGACTTCAACTCCCAGAATTCCTGAGCTAACATGACTGGAGGAGGAATTCTGGGAATTGAAGTCCACAAGTCTTAAAGCTGTCAAGTTTAAAGACCCCTGTTCAAGGGGAATGGCACCCATGCAGGAGAGGAACATTACACAAAAATTTTGCTGTGTCTCAACATCTCAATGGGGTTCCTTTGCATCTACTGGCTAGTGTTTTTAGTGGATTAATGAATTGATTACGGCATTGAGTTTTGATTTAGCCCAAGGGTCTTCAGACTTGGCAACTCCCAGAATTCCTGAGCTAACATGACTGGAGGAGGAATTCTGGGAGTTGAAGTCCACGTCTTAAAGCTGTCAAGTTTGAAGACCCCTGATTTAGCCATTGAGGGAAAGAAAAGGGAAAGATGTCCTTGAATGGAGATAAATTCTTGGTGCTTCAGGAACACACCCAGGTTGGGTTTGTGTGTTTGTGGGTGGGTGGGTGTTTGCCAACAGGGTGTATTTGTTCCTTCTCCCGAGATACTTTTCTTGCATTTCTCCAGGGATGGAACTATATATAACCTGGCTATCCCCTCTGGCTTCTACCCACCATCCTAATAAAATCCAGCCCTGCTCAGCTTTCAAGGCCAATCAAAGGCAAAGCTTATTTTCTTAAGTTCAGAAATAGCCTCACCCCGTCAGCTGTTGCACACACTCAAGGTTGTCCCTGTATTTATATGTGTGATTGCAAGGAAAAAAAAGAAATAATGCATCTCTCTCTCTCTACCTTTCTACTCTTCACTGTGTTGTAAGAAATGTCCATCACACACACACATCCTCTCTTGGGCTTTGAACCGGAACTTCCTGTTCCTGTTATATCCTATTGGCTGTCAAATTCCCAGTGGGGTGGCAGTCTTAGCTAACTTTATAGGATGTCTGTGTCCCAGGCTTGGTTGAATCTTACTGGGTGATGTAATGAAGGGGCTTTGGGCAATTCCTATTATGGCTTAATAGCTTTGTCTTGGTTTGGATCTTGAGTGAGGGCTAATCCTATCATCCTGGAGCTGAAGGTCTTTTGTCTTGTAGATAAGTTGGCACCAAAATATCTGCTGAGGCTGAGTTTCTGTGTCCCTTAAAGATTTAGGGGAAATATTCTTCCTTTTTCAATATTTCCTAGAATATTTCATTCTTCTAGGAGAGGGGTGGGTGCTAACTTTCTACAATTATTTTGTTCAGGTGTCCCCAAAAGCCGCCGGGGAGAAATTTGGCAGTTTCTGGCCGTGCAGCACCGCGTCAGACACCGGCTCCCCAATAAGCAACAGCCTCCCGACGTCTCCTACAAAGACCTCCTGAAGCAGCTGACGGCACAGCAGCATGCCATCCTGGTGGACCTGGGTGAGGGCACGACTCAGCTGGCAGATGCTCTGGGATGGTTGGGGGTGTCCCAGGGCACCCCTGTAATAATGAGGTTGCAGCACTGATTGGTGGTGCCGGTCATTGTGCAAAGAGATCTCAGGCTAATGTTTGTTTTTGGAAAACCAGTTGGAATTCCATGATGGTCTTTCCCTGGAGCTCTTCTTCTAGGAAGCAGCCTGAGCTTTCCCCGAGCCCTGATTTTCTGACCCAGCACCCCAAACATGACAAACCCTCTGACGTGAACTCAAAAGATTCCTTTATTAGGATTGCCGGCAGTTCCCACAAAAAGTTTCTCTTGCAGGGAAACAAGTCTGGCCAGCCAGCAGATGAATAGTGGTCTGCCACATTTATTCATCTCTGCCGCCTGCCTTTTATTCCCCAGAGATAGGGTGCAGCATTGCTAGCAGCGGTGGCTCTTCCATCCCAAGGATCAGCCCATAGATTTCCACTGCTCTCCTCTCCTCTCCTCTCCTCTGCCTTCTGTGCATCCGTGCATCAGACACTAGACCCAGCTGTTCCTCCTCTTCCTCATCAGCCACCTCCAGACCTGGGGGCTGTGGACTCACCATCTGAGGGCTGACGGATGGCCCAGGTTCCACCTCTGTCTCACTCTATGCCAGCCCCATTCCCTCTCCTCCCCTCGGAGGTCTCAAGTTGCCTTGATGCTGGCCCTGACTCCCACTCCTCTTCCTCTGATTCAGCTACTGGAGGGGCCAGCGGCCGACAGGCCACAGCACTCCATTTCACTTCTGACCTCGCCCTTTCTTATTTTGTCCCAGGGAGGACTTTCCCCACTCATCCCTACTTTTCGGCTCAACTGGGCGCAGGACAGCTCTCGCTCTTCAACCTGCTGAAGGCCTACTCCTTGCTGGACAAGGAAGTGGGCTATTGTCAAGGCATCAGTTTCGTGGCCGGCGTGCTGCTCCTCCACATGAGTGAAGAGCAAGCCTTCGAAATGCTGAAATTCCTCATGTATGATCTCGGATTCCGGAAACAGTACAGGCCCGACATGATGTCACTGCAGGTAAGGCCAAAAAAAAGGAAGGAGGCTGTGTGGGAAAGAGTGAAATTGGAGGTCCTCCTTCAACCGGTTCCCTGCAAAACCTCTGTAATTCCCGCTGCAGAAGGAGGACTGTTCTGCTAGCTGGATGATCGGGAGTTGAATACTTAATTAGTTGGGGAAGACTAGGCAGGAGCTCAAGAAACATGGAATGCCAGTTGGCTCTCTGTTGTTAACAGCAGTAACTGTGAGAGGGATCTTGGCGTCTTAGTGGACAGCAAGCTAAATATGAGCCAGCAGTGTGCAGCAGCAGCAGCCAAAAAAGCTAATGCAATCTTAAGTTGCATTAACAGAGGGATACAATCAAGATCAAGTGAGGTACTAATACCACTCTATAAAGCCTTAGTAAGACCACACCTAGAGTACTGCATCCAATTTTGGTCACCACACTATAAAAAAGATGTTGAGACTCTAGAAAAAGTACAGAGAAGAGCAACCAGGATGATCAGGGGACTGGAGGCTAAAACATATGAAGAACGGTTACAGGAACTGGGCCTGGCTAGTCTAGGGAAGAGAAGGACCAGGGGAGACATGATAGCAGTCTTCCAATATTTGAGGGGCTGCCACAGAGAGGAAGGGGTCAAGCTATTTTCTAAAGCGCCTATAGGGCAGACAAAGAATAATGGATGGAAACTGAACAAGGAGAGATTCAACCTGGAAATAAGGAGAAACTTTCTGACAGTGAGAACAATCAACCAATGGAACAGAAGTTGCCCTCGGAAGTTGTGGGAGCACCATCACTTGAGACTTTCAAGAAGAAATTGGACTCCCATCTGTCAGAAATGGTGTAGGGTCTCTTGCTTGGGCAGGGGGTTGGACTAGATGACCTACAAGGTCCCTTCCAACGCTGATTATCTGTTTATCTGTTGTTCTTGTGTGGCACCTACAATGTTCAGGATGAGCCACCCTTTTTATGATGCAACCTGGCTGCTTTGTCATTATAGGTGATGGCTGTCCTCATCTGTCCCACTGCAGGTTTTCTCTTAAAACACACCCATCACTTTGGAAGCACTGCAGTAGTTGTGTTCACTTTCACTTTCCCCAAACTTTTCCTTGCTCTTGCTACTCTGTCTTCCCCAAAAGGAAGTGCGACCACTTTTTGAGGATCAACTAGGCTTTACGGCTGTACACAGATAAGTCCTACATTTTGAGTGGCTCACACTGGCCATGAGTGAGGGCCAGAGATATATTTAAATAGAGTGGAATTGGGAATGGGAATGGGAATGGGAATAGGAAAGGAACAGAACAGAACAGTAGAGTTGAAAGGGATCTTGGAGGTCTTCTAGTCCAACCCCCTGCTTAGATAGAAAACCCTATAATCAAGATGGCGAACCTATGGCACTCATTCCACAGGTGGCATGCAGAGCCATTTGTGCCGGCATGCAAACTGCAAGCAAAGTTACCTCACTGTGCATGCGCGTGCCTCATAGCTGATTTTAGGCAGGTTTGAGGCCTTTTTCGGTCTCCCAGAGGCTTGAGGAAGGCTTTTGCAGGCCGAAAACTAGCCCCGTTTCATCACTTCCTGTTTTTCCAACAATACCAGAGATGACGAAACGGAGCTAGTTTTCGGCCTGCAAAGCCCGCAGAAGCATTCCTCAAGCCTCTGGGAGGCCAAATAAGGCCTCAAACCTGCCCAAAATCAGCTGTGTGGCACAGTCCAGGTAAGGAGGTGGTGGGGCTGGGTGGGGATTGAGTGCGCATGCGTACGGGGCCTGGGGGGCACGCATTGCCTTCTGGGTGCTGGCACGCGAGCGCGAGCATGCAAGCTCACCGACAATTTTTGGCACAGGAGCCCAAAAAGGTTAGCCACCACTGCCCTATAACATTTCAGACAAATGATTGTCCAGTCTCTTAAAAATCTCCAGTGATAGAGCATACACAAAAGTGTAGAGGGAAGCCATTCCACTGTTGAATTGTTCTGTCCGGAAATTTCTCCTTAGTTCTAGGTTGCTCCTCTCCTTGATTAGTTTCCACCCATTGCTTCTTGTCCTGCCCTCAGGTGCTTTGGAGAATAGCTTGACTCCCTCTTCTTTGGGGCAGGCCCTGAGATATCGGAACACTTACTGAAGGAACATGGTTTGCCAGGCATGGCCATGCATGGAGCTCTTAGGCAGGTACGGACCTCCTAACCTCCTCTTTGTCCATATGTTCATGTAGATCCAGATGTACCAGCTGTCAAGGCTGCTTCATGATTATCACCGGGATCTTTATCACCATCTCGAAGAAAATGAAATCAGCCCGAGTCTGTATGCTGCACCCTGGTTTCTCACTTTATTTGCCTCGCAATTTCCCCTGGGATTCGTAGCCAGAATCTTTGGTAAGGATCCATTTTGCCTTGCAGTCCTAAGAAACACATTCATTGAAAATGGGTCAACAGAACCAAGGTACCTTCTATCATATGTGGTGGTCATGCCCGGAAGCCCAAAAATACTGGACCAAAATATGGAATTGGATACAAGAAATAGTGGAAGATCGAATAGAATTGAAACCAGGGTTGTTTCTGTTGGGAATAATTAAAGGGAAATATAGGAAAAAGATTAAATATATTTTGCTACATATTTTAACAGCAAGAAGGATAGTATATGCACAGTGTTGGAAACAAAATAACACGCCCTCAGAGGAATTAGTAATTCAAAAAATTCTACATTGTGCTGAAATGGATAAATTGACGTTAAAACTAAAAGTTAAAGAAGAGTCGGAGTATTATGAAATTTGGGATAAATGGTATAAATGGTTGAACAATAGAAAGGAGATAAAGGAGATAAGAAAATTAAAGATAAATGTATATGAATGTATATAAAGGTATATAAATGTAGATATTTACATGAGATTGGTTTGTATAATAACGATGACACAGAACTGTTAAAATTAAGATGAATATGTGTGAAAGGTGAAAAAGAACAATAAAAATGGCTGCAAAAAAGAGAGAGAGAATGTCAACAGGAACAGCTAGAACAGAACAGGATTTGTGCCTTTCTTTAGCATCATAAATTTTGGGCTCAGTTGTAAGTTGAGGCCTGCCTGTAATCTATCGTTTTGCTCTTTCTCTCCACAGATATTATTTTTCTTCAAGGTACAGAAGTCATATTTAAGGTAGCGCTATGCCTGCTTAGCACCCAGGAGGAGAGCATCATGTCGTGTGAGACATTTGAAGGCATTGTGGAGTTTCTTAAGAACACTCTCCCAGACATGACACAGCCCCAGATGGAGAAGATAATGGCCCAGGTAACACAGGTTTTATTCCTGCCCACCTTTCCTTTCTCCTTTCTGAGGAGCAGAAATCCTGTTAAACCATCACTTGATTGACAGCGCCAAGTCTTGACATATGACAATATGTTAACTCATAAGTGATTTCTCTGGTCTTTTTAGAGTTGCCAACAGAAAGGGAGGGGGGAGCAGTGCAGCAGCTTGCAAAACCAAAACTGCATTCCATAAATGTTTTCAAAGATAGTAACTAGGTGACTGAAGTTTCTGCCATGCAAAATTCTAACTGGAGAGCATGATGGATGACTCTTAGCTATGGAAGTGTCCCATTGGAGAATATGAATTACGATACATCCAATGGATGGGGGGAAACCAGGGTCAAGGGTGACAATGAATGATGTGTCTCAGAGTCAGCTATACCCAGGCAGTGCCAGCATGTTAACTCCCAATAAATCTTTTTTAAGTTTTGGAAGTTTGGCTTGAGACTCATGATTTAAATGGGGGGGTAACTGCCGGAATCCTGACACAATGTTCCTTTCTTTCTTTTTTTTAAAAATAACTTTTTAATGAAGGTTTTAACAGATGTAAACTATTCCTTACTTTTATTTTCTCTTTTAGTTTATTGTTTTTACTATGTCTGTTAAAACTGTCCCTGATTAATGGTGATACGAGCTTGGTTCAGAAAAGCGCCCTGTGTTTATAAGTTGCTGCGATAACTTCGTCCACCAGTTTTGGAATTTAAATGTCCTTTTGAGGCGTTTTAGGAATTAAGTAGTTTCTCTTTGAAACATGGAGCTTAAAAAAACAACAACAATTGCTAAGCGGAACTTGGCAGAGAGCAAGCGGGCTCCCCTTTTGTCATCTGTCCAGTGAAATCCTTTAGGTGGCATGGCCATCAAAGCAAATAATGTCCTAGATTCAATGGTTGCACTTTAAGTTATTCTTTCCATCTTGAAAGAATGGCTGTGGCTGGTCCATACCGATTGAAAGTTTTGATTTAGTCCTTCCAGAAATGATTGTGAGAGAAGCTTCCACTCTCCCTCTTTGCTTTGGCATGTTGGTAGTCCTCTTTCTCACTCTGAGGTCCAAAGATTTCAGTTATTTGTCTTCTCCTCGAGTAGCCAGTGGATTTGTAAGCAGGGGTGGGATTCTTTCAGGCAAACCCCCTTGTTCCGACGATCAGCCAGCTCCGAACTGCCCGCTCACCCATCCCTGTTCTTTCCTGTCCTCTATTTCCTGTTTTCACAACACAACTGATTGGCGCGGCAGAGCAGTTTGCCATGCCTCAGCCGTTTGATTCTGAGTTCAGAACTGTTCAGAGTTTTGTTCAGAGTTGTTGCAGCGTTAATTCAGCGCTAGAAAAATAAACAAAGGTGGCCGATGCTTCATTTAACATCTTTATAAACATAGTAAGTCAATTTTACAAACCATTTGTAGATTTCTCCATCATGGAGCAAACTCAGACAGAAACAGGTTGCAAGCAACTTACAGCAGCACAGAAACAGACATAAGTTTCATTTTAGTTCAGCAAGCAAGCAGAGGAGAGAAGCAGTTTCATTTTCAAGAGAGAGACTCAGAGCTCAACATAGCTGCAGAGTTGCAGAGCTTGATATAGAGCTACGCCTAGGCTACTTCTAGTTTCAGTTTCCAGCCTAGGCTACTTCTAGTTTCAGTTTCCA